GGCTTTGCAACCCGTACCGTGATACGCGAGTTATGATAGTCGGCGACAGGACTAATTATATCATGGGAGACACGAGATTTACTAAAATAAGAGCTTTATTACTATCAATAAAAATATCGAGTTATACCACCTATACGCAAAACCTATATCTTTACAAAGACAATGCAAACTACACCGGTTGGCCTAACATCCTTCGCTCCCACTAAAGGTTACCTGTAAAACAAAAGTAGAATCTTGAGTAATCTAGCATTACTCAGTAAGGCGGGATTCTAATAGTATAACCCAACCCAACCCCCAATCACAACGATTAAATTACATAAGATTCACAAGCAATAAATTGAACAACCACTATCAATCCCAGTTTAGACATGCTAAACAAGCCTCTACGAATTCATGATATCCCCCCAAGGCGAGGCCTCCACACTTCTAGACACGACAGTCTAAAAGAGATTATACCCCTTAATACTACATCGTCATGTACCGCTTGCCCGGGCATGACCTGGTCCAAACCTTTGTAAGCCATAATATTACGGAGTTTCACGCAACGTACAACAGACGGATGGACTATCATGGTTCGCCTAACAATAGTTAACCCCCTATTGCTATACATCATTACATATAACCATAATCATATGCTGTCCGACAGCATAACGGTTACTCTAACAAACGGGCAGCATAACGATTACACAATCGTTAAGCCAAACTTCATAACCAATCAATCAACCAAGTATAAATGATTATGAAATAATACCAAGTATAAACTAGAAACCTCATGCATAATTTAAAAATAATAACTAAAACCCAATCCGTGTGTTACTTCACACGGCTGGGTTACTCACCCCCTAAACACACGCTTTGGATCTTATCTTAGATCGGAGACTCTATCGGAAACTAACTTTATCTTTGATGCCAAACTAAGCTACTCGGCAGAGCCTCGACATTATCTGAAAGCTCTTTCGGGACGATTCGCTCGCTCCCGACGCTCAGATTCTCACTCACGGACTAACTAACATTTTCTCTGATTTTTTCTTGTTTTGGTCTGAAGGAAATAATGCGCGGAAGGGGCCTATTTATAGGGTTTGGTGGTCCGTGGAACATGTGGTGGAGAATGGACCACGGAGGCCAGAAAAATGGGTGGCTACGGGTGCGACACGGCGGCGATTGATGCAAAACTGTCGTACCAACATGTGTTCGTCAGGACACCAAGCCATCTTCGTTCGGCGACATGTGGTGGAGAGGTGTGAGCTAGTTCCGGTGGCGCATCTCCAGCCACACATTCGGCTAAGCAAGTGACAAAGCTGCTTCCTCCACAAGCACCTCAACGACACGACCAGTTCTAATCCATACGTCCGAAACTGTTCGATGATACAACAGCTTGGGTCCTAAGCTGCTCAACAACGTGGCCGTTTCTTGACCACAAAGCTGACAAGTAGCTTACCCTCCTGCTTGATCGGAAGCTGATCAGTGACGTGCCCAATCGTCGATCACACACCTATCGCGGATCAATCATGCATTGCCCAGGGTCGTCCATCGCTCACCACGGGCCGATCCTGCATCGTCCCCGATCGTCTGAATATCTATGTCATCGCCCCAAACTCGATTTCTCTCGCCCAACTTCCAATTCATTGTTCATCTTGCAATTTCCCTCGATCAAAACTCTTGAAAGTATCCTAAAATACTTCGGCTCATCGCCAACAATTATTCTCTTTGATATTGGCTGATGGTTCTTTGATAGCCATCCCTCGGTCAATTTGGAGTCGTGGTGAGGGGTATTCCCCTTAATAAAATTCGTCCTCAAATTTTCAGGGGAAATGTTATCTAGAACTTCTCCAAAATGTTGACAACATAACCTATGCCAACTTCTTTAGACTCCTTGTCTTCTTGAACTTCTCTCCTTGAATCTGGGTCTTGCATGCTTCAAATTATGGTTCACCGTTCTTCTCGTCCTGGTACTCCTCCCCTTTGACTAATCTTCAAGGGCTTCGTCTTCGTTTTGTGATTCTCCTCATACCCTTGTATTGACTTAATGACTTGTGTATTCGGCTCCTCCCCTTAGACTTAATTTTACATTATGTAAAGTATGTTTTCATCATTTTCATCTATAACCTTCTTACATTATGTAAAGTATGTTTACATTATGTAAAGTATTTTTCACACTCTCTTACTTTAGCTATTTTCTTCTTCAGCTATAACCTTCTTGGTTCATCGTTTTCATCATTTTCATCATTTGTTTACTTCTCTTCCCTTCTTCACTTCATCACTCTCCACTTTTCTTAGAACTCTTCAACTCCATTTCTGTATATGTGATTTCCTTTCACATATCATGTGTGTTGCTCAAAAGCTTAACACACAATCTTGCCTTCATCCACACCACACGCCTCAAGTTATCACAGGGTTTATAGGTTAAGGATGGTCGGCCTAAACAACTACGGTTTACTTAACCTCTAGGTTTTTAAGGTTGAAGTCTTCAGGGTAACATAAAGACTAATCCTAACACTCAACTCACTCTGACAACAAAAATTTAAAACCAACCTATCGATCTAACAACGCATGGATGGGGTTACCCTTCCCCAAATATTGTTACACTAAACAAAACTAAACGATTACTTGAATTTAAACAAATAAACAACACATATAACACCATAAAAGAAGTGAGATAAAACCCATACTTACCTGGCCCAAGACTTGCATGGTCATAATGCTTAAGGTAATCTATTCCTAAAGTTTATCTTTTCAATCCGCCTCTACCTAATGTCTTGCCAGTTTCCTTTTTGAATGAACCAATGGGGAAAGAAAACTATTTAAAAATAAATTCCTCCTCAAGGTTGTCATCTCCATCTTCTGGTAAAAAACCTGCTTCGAACATCCAAGGGTAAATCCTATCCCATCTACCTAAATGCTAAGGACATAACCGGTTTCCTAATTGTCTTTGTGACTCCTTTGACTCGATAAAATATTGAAAACAAGTGTCTCTTACGAGCATCAATTAACCATGCTCTGATACCATACTTATAACACCCCTGAACCGCTCTAGGCCAAGAACAAATTTGGAAGTATCACAGTTGACTCCCGCAGCCGGCTAACCCAGATTCACGGAACACGACCGCTCGCCCAAAGTCGTCCAACTGCGAGAAATCGGTTTACCTTGCTATCATGGCCTAAGGCTTTGCAACCCGTACTGCGATACGCGAGTTATGATAGTCCGGACATGACTAATTATATCATGGGAGACATGGGTTTACTAAAATCATAGCTTTATTACTATCAATGAAAATATCAAGTTATACATACTATACGCAAAACCTATATCCTTACAAAGATAATGCAAACTACACCGGTTGGCCTAACATCCTTCGCTCCCAAAGGTTACCTCTTAAACAAATTTAGAATCTTGAGTAATCTAGCATTAGTCAGTAAATCCGGGATTCTAATAGTATAACCCAACCCAACCCCCAATCTCAAAGAATCAATAACACAAGATTCACAAGCAATAAATTGAACAACCACGACAGTCTAAAAGAGATTACATCCCTCAATACTATATCGTCATGTATCGCTTGCCCGGGCATGACCTGCTCCAAACCTTCGTAAGCTATAACGTTACGGAGTTTCACGCAACGCACCAAGACGGATGGACTATCATGGTTCGCCTAACAATAGTTAACCCCCTCGATCAAAACTCTTGAAAGTATCCTAGAATACTTCGGCTCATCGCCAACAATCATTCTCTTCTATATTGGCTGATGGTTCTTCGATAGCCATCCCTCGGTCAATTTGTAGTCTTAGTGAGGGGTATTACACCCGCCATAGGTATCTATTATCAAAACTATTATTTGATGAGCCTGGTTAATAGGTGTGTAATAAGAATTGGTCTATCTACTAAGGTGAACTTATCGAACTCGTTTAGCATGCATGTTTAGCAATAGGGTTTCACTGCACGCCACCGGGAATCTTAGCTCCAAGCATAGTTAATTTCACGGAACACCACCGGTTATTCTAATACTATAGTTTGAGTTTAAGAAAGGTTCGATAACAACCTAGCTATAGTAGATCTACTAATCTCTATTTCCTGAGAATACCCTAAACCTGACTTTTTTCCCATCTGACTTACATCTTGATATTTATTGCTTTTCTATGTTTCTTATTTTGTAATCTATTAGTTTAGTTTAATTCGATAACCATAGTTTATTGCGTGATCCGAGAACTTTTTGGAATTCGACCCGTAAGTACTACAATCTCTTATTTAAAGAGTGATCTTAAGGAAATTTGACCTACATCAATGAACTTAGCCGTAAAGCGCTACAACGGCAGTGACGGCTGAGCTACGGTATGGTGCGACTGATTTAAGAAAAAATGGTTGAGTTATGAGAAAACGGCAGACTTATAGTACAACTCTCTCTCGAGTCATGGCTGACTTAATGAAAATTTTCTGAGTTATGAAATAATTCAGCTTACGTTATGACTGACTTAATGAGATTTGCTGAGTTATGAGAATTTTGAGCATAACCCAACCTAAGTTACGGCTGAGTTTTTACCCTATGGTTGATTGGTCAAAATTTTGGCTAAGTTATTCCCTCGACACAGCTGAGTCAACTTTTTATGGCTGGCTGAGTTATCAAAGACGATTTAGATGTGGGATATCGTTACGGCTAATTTATGTTCGAGTGTCATAAATCAGCCGTTATGAGCTGAATTAACGGATAACTCAGCCTAGTTACGACTGACTTAATAGTGAAAGATTAATTATTATAATATCATGCAATTACGGCCGACATATAAAACGAAACGACTGAGTTAAAAAATTTCTGTTGAGTTACGACATTAAACGGCTAAATTAACTTGCCGTGTTTTTGTTTTTTTAATTACTGTAGCTTTGATATTAAACGACATGTTGCGGCTGACTTATAACTTTGTTTGATGGCTGATTTATTTATGCAAGTTCGTTTGGTGGCTTACTTGCCACTTCATCAATTAAAAAATAACGTCGGATGCAACATTTTATGTCATCATCATCAAAGAAAATACGAAACGCCTTTTTTAACTCGTCTTCTTAACTTGAGTTTTTCACATTACCGGAACTTCTAATTCGTCATCGTCTTCCTCATTCTTCTTCATTTTCTTTCATCTTTCTCCTAATATGATTGATTCGATTACGGTAATTGTTGGTAATTGAGTAAAGAATTTGTATTTAACATTAACAATAAAGAGTGTAGAGTTATGCAAATAGATGCGGAAACAACGCACAACAAGCTTGTGAAGTTGGTACTCGATGACTACGGATTGAATGAGTTGAGCCATCAGTTAAAGTTGAGCTAGATGTTCTTGAACAAGGCTATGAACAATATGTCTATTCGTAACAGCTCAGCCGTAATAAGTAGATTTACTCAATCTTTTGTTTTCCGTGAACCATTATAACTCAGCCGTGACATGTAAATTTGTTGCAAAACAATAATAGAGAGGGAAACCAAAAAGTTCTTCTTAATAACGTTAATGACGTGGATTTTTTTTTAATGACATAGATTAATATAATTTCCTTAATTATTTTTAATTAAAAAGATAATAAAAAATTCTTAATTAAAAAAAATCTAACTAAAAGTATTAATTATAATTACCCAATAACACAAAACATATGAGTAATTGTAAAAAATATATAATATTCTAACAATATTCCAATTTTTTTACAAGAGAGATTTTTATCCTTTATCATTCTCTTTTACTTTTTTTCTAAAATATAATTCTCTAATTATGTACTGTTCTTATTACCGTTGTCTAAAATTTTGATTTTTTTAATTCCGGTTTTTAAAATTGTGAATTTTTTTTTGTTTTATTGATATGTCGGTGCTATAATAGTTCTATGACGTGGCCACAAAAGAGACACACTCGTAAGACATGTGTTCAAATCTTGTCCTCATGCAAGGATCATATGAGCCGAAATATTCTCTTATACTCGAAAACCCAATCTTCACATTCTCGTACAATCATCATCTACACCCAAAAAGAAAAAGGAAAAAAAAAATCAATGGCTGAGGAGTTTCATCTTCCTCTAAACCTCACCGAACCAGACCAAACTCCGACCGAAGAAGATTTCGAAGCAGACACTACATTAATTGACGACGAATACCTCCGTTACCTCCACTACTTGGATTCACGGAGCAATCATGGAGTCAACACGTTTGGATCTTACGATGAAATCTTTGGTCTAGTTCTCGGTAATTCATCCTCTTGTACGCGGTGGCTTAACGCAGGGGAGGAACTTCCGGTGGTGGAGTTTACGGCTGAGGAAATGATGGAGAGAGGTTTAGTGGTTTGTGCTATATGTAGAGAGGAGCTTGCTGCTAATGAGAGGCTCTCAGAGCTTCCTTGTCGGCATTATTACCATAAAGAGTGTATCTCGAATTGGTTGAGTAATCGGAACACTTGTCCGCTTTGTCGTCATAACGTGGAATTACCCAACCACGGTTGAGATTGTGCATGTAGTATTTTCTTATTGTTCCGACCAAACTGTATCCGGAGCCTAAGAGTTTTATTTTTGGTAAATATTATTGTTAATTAGTAACTACTGTATCTAGGTTTTGTTTTCTTGAATATGTGTATAGGTTCCTTGTCAATTATAGTCTATCTTTTGCATAGGTTTCTTCAATCTATATGTCACCACTATTAGATTACTGAATTCTTATATTGTCTTAATTAAGTCAGACTATTATTGCTTTTCCTTATGTCTTATGTTTCTTTGTTCAACAAAGAGTCGCAACTCGCAACTAATTCCCAACTCAACCAATCACAATAACTTGGATAGGGCTGGAGTTTTTCTGTACAGCTGAAAGAGATTAATGGTGTTGGGCTTTGTACTTGATGTCCGTCCGGCTCGGATAATGCCCATTATCGATTTCAGAGGAAAGGTCATCAAGCCCAATGCCCAATTTTATTTAACAAATTTGAATCCTTCTCAACTTGTTCTTGTTATTTCTCATCTTGAGTTTGTTATCAATTCAACCTTTAGTACAACAACGTTAATAAATAGAAGAAGGAAATTTCCGATCTTTTTCCCGTTGGATTTAGTTTCTATAAAGAAGTTTTGGGCAATTTATAAAAGAAATAATTCCTAAGATAGAACACATTTGTATGTTTATTCCTAGAATAGAACACATCTTTTTTTTATTACTTAGATGTTTTCAGTAATTATGTAATTATAATTAACACCCCTAATTAGTTTTAATTAATTATTATTATTTAATTCGTTTTTAACTAAAAATTAAATAAAAAAACAGTGATTATACATGTCATCATTCCATGTCATTACCATAATCCACGTCATTAATCATCTCCAAACCGCATAACGTTTGGGTTTCTTTTTCTTGGCGTTACTGTTCATCATCTCCCAAAAAAAAAAATTGTCGCTTTCTTCCTCTTTCTCTCTCGACGGAACGAAATCGTTCTCTTTCGCCGTTTTGCTCTTTTCTCGTCTGTTCCGGCCGAAATTCAGACGCCGGAGTCGCATTTCCGTAAGCGCGAAGGCACATCCGACATCTAAGTTCCGGTGAGTATGTTTCCATTAAGTAAGACTCTGACATCTAAGTTCAATCTTAAGTGATTCCCGTCACTGAAATCGTTTTCCGATGCGTAACGATGGTTTTTAAAGCTGGGTTTTAACGTCGTCGTTGATTGACATATGGTGGCTGATTTCTTAGATCTATTTGATTTGACGGCTGAGTTACTGTTTGTTTGCCGACTGATTTATGATTTATCAATTCCTCCGTGTCTGAGTTTGTTTTATGTTGTGACTGAGTTATGGTTTAACCTTACATCGATGACTGAGTTTCTTTTATATGACGGCTGAGTTTGTTTATGTTATGGCTGAGTTTCTGTTTTGATATAGCTGAGTCTGGTTTATGTTTTAACTGAGCTGTTGTTATGTTATGGTTTGACTGAGTTTCTGTTAAGATATGGCTGAGTTAGATTTATCTTATGGCTGAGTTATGTTATGTGTGGCTGAGATTGGTTTATGTTATGACGCAGTTATGTTATCTATGCCTGAGTTAGATTTATGTTTTACCTGAGTTATGGTATCTGTGGATGAGTTTGTTTTATGTTATGGCTGAGTTATGGAATGCTTACGGCTGATTTATGGTTATACAAATGTCTAAAGACCAAGCAAGGGAGTACCCTCCAAGACTTTACCAAGAGGAGGATTCTAATCTGGAGGGTAAAGGCATTAATCACAACATAAAGCTGGGAGAGTTCCCTGCAATTAGAGAATCAATAGGAAAAGATATATGGGCAGAACTGAAAGAGACAGAGCCTGGATTAATTGCTAAGCTTGTTGATAGTCATTTTCTATGGTCTGGTAAGACCGTACATTATCTACTATGCAGACAGCTGAGAATACTGAAGAAGGAGCTTTGATGTATCCTGGCTGGTAAACCCATCCGGTTTGGATTGAACAAATTTCATCATATCATGGGTTTAAATATAGATCAACTGCCTACAGAAAAGTTTGAGCCTGAAGCTGACTACAAAGTGTTCTTCAGGGAATTGCGTGTGCCAACCGGTGAAGGTCCTAATCTAGATGAACTTAGGCAGGGCTTAGTAATGTGCAGAGCTTGGCCTCATGAAAAGCGTAGATGGTTTGGCTTATTGACTCTTCTATCCATTGGACTTTTTGGCTTGCATACTATCTCTAGGATACCATTTGAGAGTGCCAAAAGAGTTTTCGATGACGAAGCCATGAAGACTTATCCATGGGGTCGAGCAGCATTTGAAGCCCTTGTCGTTTCTATAAAGTTGTTGAGGCCTATTAGCAAGACGTACACCATCAGTGGTCTGGTTTTCGTGTTGCAGGCTTGGGCGTATGATTCAATCATCACCATCGCCGAGCGTTTTGGGAACGTTGTTAAAGCGGATGAGATTCCGTTGCTTAGATGGGGTGGCAGCCGTACCCGTGCAATTATAGAATCGGCCATTACTGAAGATATCAAAGCGAATGATGGTGAGGTACGGTTTCGGCTCTGTTATGTTATGTTTTTTATCAAATATTTATGTTACGGCTGAGTTAATGTTTTGTTTTTTTGTCAAGTATGTTATGTGAAGGCTGAGTTATTTTCTGTGAAGGCTGAGTTATGTTCTCTTTTTTTTTTGGCAAATATGTTATGTGATGACCGAGTTATGTTCTATAATGGCTGAGTTATATTAAGTGATGACTGAGATATGTTCTGTAATGGCTGAGTTAGCTTAAGTGACGACTGAGTTATCTTAAGTGATGGCTGAGTTAAACATACTGATGGGTTTTATTATCTCTTGTGTTGTAGCTGCGTGTTCGTACAATGGTTGAAAAGGCTGAGTTAAGCGAGCTGTTTCATTCTTGGCCAGACTAATTAGAAGACCAAGCACTGGATAACTTGATCCAAGACTTACACGAGCTTAAGCTTGTTAAAGGTTATTGGGATGTGAAGACGAGTGAGAAGAAGAAGAAACTCGTAAAAGATAAAGAAGAGGTGTCTGAAACTCCCGCAAAGAAGCAGAAGGTCTCTCACAGTGAGGATGTTCATTCTCGTGAGAAAGATGCAGAAAAGAAGAAGAAGAATAAGAAGAAGGAAGTAGCTGTCGAATCTGATGAGGACGAGGATGTTCATTCTCGTGAGCAGGATGGTCAGGGAGAACAGCAGTCGCTCGTGGATATGGTGTCCAACTTGATCTCTCCCTTAAACTCAAGGTTTGACACCGTTGATACTAGCATAAAAGAAATGTCCTCCCGTCTGGATGTGAAGGAAGGTTTGGATCGATTGACAACGATGTCAAACAGATTAAAGAGTAGCTGAAGGCCATATCTGACTCAAAATCAAGCAGTTATATTAGAGATATGTTTTTAGCCAAAACACAGCCCCAAACGCAGCAAGACAATCCTAAGGCCCAAACTCAACAGACACCAGACGTTCCAAAGAAACCTACAAATAACCAATCTGCTACTTCTAGTCCTCCTCCGGTAAACTTTTAGTTAGTTATGACCGAGTTATCTGAATATTATTCGGCTGCGTTATAACTTTTAGTTAGTTATGGCTGAGTTATCTGAATTATACGGCTGAGTTATCTGAATATTTTACGGCTGACTTATC